TGACATTTAACACCGCGAGAAACTACCCAACCAATCAGGATTTCCATTGGCTAAAGAGACTATAAAGGTAAGTAACCACTTGCATTTCCATTACTGTATCACAACTTATTTTTCGATAAGATAGGACAATTCTTAAGCATTAAAATTAAAACTATAACTCAATATGATAATAATATGAAATAGAATTATTTAAAATTGATTTTAAGATTTTATAATCAATTATGACCTTTTTATTATTGTAACATTCGATACTATAATCGTACCCTAAATACACATTATTTTCTTTAGTTCAACGATCAAAGGTATTCAAACTAACATAAACGCACCTCGATTAGGCAAACCATCTATGTCAAGACTAAAAAAATTATAAAGAATAAATCTATCGCGGTTTAATTTTAAGAAGTTGTCAAGAGTAAACTCATGGTTCCAGACGGATGGTTTCGACTGATCTACAAAAGGGCAATTCTCTCCTTTACACGTGGGATTAAATCTTAAGACCAACAAAAGATCTTCCCAAATTGATATAAAGCTTCAAAAAGTTGGGAAAAAAGGAAAACTTTGCAAAATTGCATTCCCAAGAAAGCTTCATCAAAATATTTTTAACATTTTTCTTCCGATTTAGACATAAATAATGGATTCGAATCTTGTGATCCAGAAAAGCCTGACAAAAGAGTAATCTGATATCCACTTCGAAGTGCCATAGTGGATGCAAATTCAACTTTTTTGCAAAACATTCCTAGAAAGATTTTTCTTTTTTCCTGATAATTAAAGATATTCAGATCAATTTACACGTATTTCAATTAATTCTTAGTCAAAAAAAAATCATTCACACCGAGACTAAANCAATTCTTAAGCATTAAAATTAAAACTATAACTCAATATGATAATAATATGAAATAGAATTATTTAAAATTGATTTTAAGATTTTATAATCAATTATGAACTTTTTATTATTGTAACATTCGATACTATAATCGTACCCTAAATACACATTATTTTCTTTAGTTCAACGATCAAAGGTGTTCAAACTAACATAAACACACCTCGATTAAGCAGACCATCTATGTCAAGACTAAAAAAATTATAAAGAATAAATCTATCGCGGTCTAATTTTAAGAAGTTGTCAAGAGTAAACTCATGGTTCCAGACGGATGGTTTCGACTGATCTACAAAAGGGCAATTCTCTCCTTTACACGTGGGATTAAATCTTAAGACCAACAAAAGATCTTCCCAAATTGATATAAAGCTTCAAAAAGTTGGGAAAAAAGGAAAACTTTGCAAAATTGCATTCCCAAGAAAGCTTCATCAAAATATTTTTAACATTTTTCTTCCGATTTAGACATAAATAATGGATTCGAATCTTGTGATCCAGAAAAGCCTGACAAAAGAGTAATCTGATATCCACTTCGAAGTGCCATAGTGGATGCAAATTCAACTTTTTTGCAAAACATTTCAAGAAAGATTTTTTTTTTCCTGATAATTAAAGATATTCAGATCAATTTACACGTATTTCAATTAATTCTTAGTCAAAAAGAAATCATTCACACCGAGACTAAACAATTCATGACGAATAAATTCATTATAGCCGAACCCCAAGAGGTTATTAAGATTCGATCTCAAATTTGAAGTAGGGAGCATAATTTACACACAATGCCTTTCAAATTCCAAAAATAGTTTTGTGCAACTTGAATTCGCATGAATTTATTAACATAAAATTCAAGACAGAATATCAAAATAACATTAAGTTGCTATAAATAAGATATTTTGACCATACCTTCGGGATAAAAAAAAAAGACGATATTCAGATCATTATTTCAAAGAATTCAGCTCAATAAAAAGGAAAATGCATAGATTCATACATGCAAGTTTGCAGAATTTGAATGTCATAAAATAAAAATGGTAGAAAGGAACATAAGCAGGAATGAATTGTTCACATGCATAAGATGGTTAAATTTGGATAGTCTCAAATCTCAATCGCTATCTCTGTTTTTATTATCTTCGATCAAACTCAATCAAGTCATGCTAAATACAACGAACCACACTCGTTGTCAGTAAGTCACACAAAGACCCACCACTGGAACTTAATGTGATTAATGGTGGATGATTGAGCTTAATCAATCTATTTATTCTAGAAAATCCATCTAAGAAGATATGGTTTTGATCTAGTTAGGTAAATCTTTGGCTTACAAATGTTTGATAGGTGCAACATCAATTACTCTAAATAGGGCTCTTAATCAAATTGATTCGGCTTGTTCAAACTTGGTTCGTTTTTTAAATGAACCCCAATTTGAACAAATTTTTAGGCTCGTTTAAAAAACAAGTCTTACAAACTCGGTTCAAACTCAACTCGTTTATGTGCAAATACTCAGGCTCGACTCGGGCTTAACTTAATTTTGGCTTGTTCAGACTCGGCTCTTTTCCTAAACGAGTCAATCTTGACTAATTTTTTAAGCTCGATTAAGAAACAAAGTTCAGCTCAAGCTCGTTCAACTATCAGNATTACTCTAAATAGGGCTCTTAATCAAATTGATTCGGCTTGTTCAAACTTGGTTCGTTTTTTAAATGAACCCCAACTTTAACAAATTTTTAGGCTCGTTTAAAAAACAAGTCTTACAAGCTCAGTTCAAACTTAACTCGTTTATGTGCAAATACTCAGGCTCGACTCGGGTTTAACTTAATTTTGGCTTGTTCCGACACGGCTCTTTTCCTAAACGAGTCAATCTTGACTAATTTTTTAAGCTCAATTAAGAAACAAAGCTCAGCTCAAGCTCGTTCAACTAACAANTTTGGCTTGTTCAGACTCGGCTCTTTTCCTAAACGAGTCAATCTTGACTAATTTTTTAAGCTCGATTAAGAAACAAAGTTCAGCTCAAGCTCGTTCAACTATCAGCTCTAACCCTAAAGTAATGTATCTATACCAGTACAGTAGACAAAAAGGCATACTGACCTATGTATTCAACTACACTACAATTCTAATCCTCGTATAGAAAGAAAAAAAGGAAAAAGGTACTGAAATAGAAGATGGGAGGAACAATTTGAAGACAAGACAAGAAAGAGGAGTCTATATCTGTCTAATGATATTGTTGAAAATTCAGTCCACTCAACCTGAACCAATATGAAGTAGGAAAAGAACATTTGCCTCCATAGAGACCTGGTTCTAAATGCATTACAAAGCCCTTTTCATTAGTGGAAAACTGCATTTCAAAGTACATCCACATCCCCCCTCATCATTCTCATCACCATATAACAAGTTTTCCACTTTCCAATACTTAAAAAGTTGTGGTTGGGACAAATTCTAACCTCAGTGATTTACCTGGATAGAGTTGCACTTATACTTACCGGAGTCCAGGAATCAACTTCTCCAAAATAAGAGTAATGATGTAGGCCACAACTAACAAGATGTACGCACCGATGGAAATACGAACTTGTATTGATAACAAAGGTTGAAAAAGCCAACCACCATTCCTGGGCTACACCGTCTCACCCTGATCTCCTATAGACGAAAGACTTGCATATTGAATGAGGTTTTTTTTTTTTTTAGTACAGTGTTTACCCAATACGACCTGATGGAGACAACCATGTGAAATTCTCCCATTCTAAAAGAATCCATGCCTGTAGCTGAAGCATCAAATTGTGGGTCATTTTCTAACAGTCTCAAATATTCTTCGGCTTTTCTTGCTTGTAAAGCTGCCAATTTGCTCATCTTCTAACTAAGCTAAGCATTTGCCTTAAGAAGCACTGATATATCGTATCCAATTGATAAGTATGCGTGACAAAATAATAGTCTATCCAGATTAGAAAATCTCAGATCAACAAGCCACCAAACTGAAAATCCCCTTCTTGAACCTAATTTAGAGATTTACTCAAGTCAATAGATGCACTACGCTAATTCAGTCGCTCCAAGGAAATTATAAGTTTTATTTTTTTTCCTAGCATTAGACATAGGTCTAATCTTGGCATTGGATAACCGGCATACCCTAGGATCTGATGGAACTTCTGCAGAAAACCAGAAAAGAGAAATTCATTTTCAGTTAATTCGAATGTACAGAGTAAAAAGGATAGTCCACAAGGTTTACCGGAGAAGGTCAAATGTATGTAGTTTTACCGTGTTGCGCCAAGACCTGTCATCTAATTCATATGTATTGGTGTATGAGGGCAAATATTATCTGGTAAAATATCACATCACACCCATTGTACTTTATTCCAGCTTTACCACTTATCAATCACAGTGAGAGATGTGAGTGTCTTTCTTCCAAAGAATGGTGTGGTAAAAATTCGTTCCAGCAGCATATTTTAAACACAACAATGGCTAAGACACCCCCTCATTACCATGATATGGCACTGACCAACACCTAATTGTGACCCAAGGGGCTGTGCTTCCTAATTACCATAATATCCATAATCTATCAAGTTTACTATTTTATATTCTGTGATGGATCTCATCAAAGTGGTTGTTGAGTCATCAATTTCGGACACAATCTTTTCCACTTATAGAAAATGGTTTGCCTTCTCCAACCTCCTCCTCCTATTCCTTTACGTCACAGAGCATCATTGGCCAAGAACATCTAAGAGTAAAAACAGATTGGCTCGGCTTGGCAATAACACCCACTTTTCAGATTGACTTTGAACCTCATATCCTTCCTTGGCTTTTCTGTTCAAAACATTCCCCTAAAATAATTATACTTCCCACAATATAAACACACTCTCTATCTCTGATGTAAGCATTTTTCGATCTCAAAATGATTATCCACAACCCAACTCACATACCTGGGCGCACAAAGATAATGTTCCATCACAGGCATGTACACATGTAACCATTTAATGGCCATAAAGGGCTTGAGTAATACATTTATATAGATTTGTCACTTGTGGGACGCATGCTCCCATGGATACATGGATGTGATCCTACATCAGCACATGAACATATTCAACAAGATATTCCAAGGGTCACATCTTTAAGGAACTCTACTGTTCCTCCAAATTGACAAAAGTGGGGCCACAATACCTTTTCTCATTCTATAAAACACCCCCTCCTCTCAAGTTTCTCTTCGCCTTGGAACACCAACCCCATTTACCTGACTCTTAAAATCCTGTTCAAAACCTAAGCATTGCATATTCACTCAAAACTTCAAAGCCATGCAGCCCAGTGAGGTCACAGAACTCCATTATCTGCTTCCTTCAAATCCAACTCCATATCCGCCTCATTTTAGCTTGAACAGCACACCCGGATTTCAGTTTAGCAGACTTCCTAACCCTTTATATCATCTGCCAATTACTCCTCAATTTCCAGAATTCAACCCACAACCAACATATTTCAACAGTAACTCAACTTCTGATGAAGCAGATGAACAGCAACTAAGTCTCATCAATGAGAGAAAGCAAAGAAGAATGATATCCAACAGAGAGTCTGCACGCCGGTCACGAATGCGCAAGCAGAGGCACCTAGACGAGCTTTGGTCACAGGTTGTTTGGCTTCGAAATGAGAATCACCAACTGACTGATAAACTGAACCAGGCTGCGGAGCGCAATGATCAGGTCCTTCAAGAGAACACTCAACTCAAAGAAGAAGCTTTAGAACTTCGCCAGATGCTAACTGACATGCAGCTGAGTAGTCCTTACCATACCTTTAGAGATTTTGATGATGTCCCTTGCAACGATTATCTCGGAACTGAATCCTCAAACCAAACCATCACAAGTTCCACAGATTTGCTTCATTGAGATTAACACAATGATATTGGTTGTCTCTAGCTCTTTTGCTCTTTATTGGTGTCTAAGTCCATCAGTGTTGGCTTTAATTTAAGATGTACAACATCAGAGAGAAACAAGTGCAATAACATCTTTTAAGCAAATCATTTTTATCTTAGCTTGTGATGTCACATGCATTATATTTATAGGTATTTGAAGGCTATAAATAATTTTTTTACAATCAACCAGGTCTCACCTTGTTAATGCACATTTAATTTTAAAAGGATTATAGAGCAAAGACAGAGAGGTTGTTATGAGAACTGACCCGTCAGAGCACATGACAACAGATTCCATGGTGATCCTTTCTTTATTGATCATACTAAACCCGCCTGTAAAAGTATATAAAGAGAAATAACCTATAAAACTGATCAAACATTGGAATACAAATTGAAAATTCTCTCAAAAAGAATGCTAAAACATAATCCAATATATTTTTTGCTACAAATGAAATGTACTAGTTGTGTCAGGTGAGGTACAACAGAGGCATATAAGTGGCTTTTTGTGTGCAGTAGAGTGGAACAGGCCAGCCAGGGTAAAAGGGAGGTGAATTATTGTTCTGGATCATAATAAACGAACTGATATAAAAGGAAAACATGTGCAAAAGCCATCTAAAAAACCCTAAGTTGTACAGTTCCATGTCTTTTGTGGGAGTTTCACCGAACTTGTTGAAACAGGAATAGTCATTTCACATATATTGAACAGAACGGGTGGTGAGACAGCAATTACTCTATCTTCCCTTTCATAGAGCAGGTAAACTGAGTCCGAAAGACTTCACCAGCAAGGGCTAGTATCTTCTATCACCTCTCTACAAAAAAACACACAGTTTGATCCTCATCTTCATCATTCAATTTATCTACTTGTACAACAGTTTTCCACCACAACTTGGTAAACTGGATGGCACGCATTTCATTCTTGTCTGGCATTATAAGAATCTTTCTCAATGCAAAGACAACCAAAATAGAAGTTTTAAGTTACCGCTATCCTTGGGAAAGCAGAAGAGCTACCGAAGGAATGGGATGCGGAGCTTCTGTACAACAGAAAATGAAAATCTATGGGGCCCATGTATTATTAGAGGACCCCTGCTTCATCCATACAAGTGCCAACAATCTAAGGCTGAGGGGAGGGCGTAGATCGCCTTTGCCATCTATAATCGCGTTTTATTACATTTTAACAAGTACACCATTAAAACATCAAGTAAGCTATGGTTACATATTTTTGTGTTTTTTCTCCTTTTTCCTGAAGTTGTCATGTTGACCAACTGGCATTCAGCGCCTACAAAATTATTGTCCAATACTACTATGGATTATCTTATCTCTGTATCAAGGACTCTGCTGTAAGAGTCCCCCTGCCAGATTAAGGCACTAATTCATCAAGTAATCCAAAGGGGAGTGATTAATTAATACTTTACACATCATCGAAAACTCAACTCAATTTAACTCCAACAAAGTCTTTATCCCAACTAGTCGGTGAGATGAATCTTATTTCTTCATTTTGCTCTATCAAGAGTCATATTTTCCATTAAACCCTGAGATATCATTTTTCTTTTTGTAACTATTGCTATCACAGTCTACTATTTTATTTCTAACTGATGTGAAAATTTTCAACTATAGGAGAAGCCATTATTTCTGCACAGAAGACACCTTCACTGACCTACTCTAACCTCATCATGTGAAGCAAAGGAAGGAAAGGAGCAATATATAACCGNTTTATTTCTAACTGATGTGAAAATTTTCAACTATAGGAGAAGCCATTATTTCTGCACGGAAGACACCTTCACTGACCTACTCTAACCTCATCATGTGAAGCAAAGGAAGGAAAGGGGCAATATATAACCAATAGAGGAGTGAAATAGAACAAGAACAGCTACCAAGCTATGACCTAACCTAGATACTTGTCAGATTTTGAAATTCTCCAAAGCTAACGTACCGACTATTACATACATAATGCATTACAACAGAGAGAATAATACCTCAAATTCGACAACAACTGAAATATATACCTGAAAAACTTAATTAAATGTGAAGCACTAAAAAATTGGGGGTTATATTAGGGTTCTCGAGCAGATTTGTAGCTCAATACTACCTTAAACATCACATAAATTTACAGCAAATGTAAATTGGTTTATAAGAGTCTAATCCAATAAACATAGTGACAGTACAAATCAACTGATTTGCTGATATACAAAAGATATTACATATTATCAGTCTAATTATTTCATGTCAGCGCAGAAAAAAAGCATGATCTAGAGTGAAAATGAAACAAATATTTGAAAAATCCTAAATTCAAATCAATCTACTATATCTAAAAACTTTCACTTATCAATCTAGTNGTCTAATTATTTCATGTCAGCGCAGAAAAAAAGCATGATCTAGAGTGAAAATGAAACGAATATTTGAAAAATCCTAAATTCAAATCAATCTACTATATCTAAAAACTTTCACTTATCAATCTAGCAGAAAAAATCAATCAAATCAAAACTAAAACAAGGAAAAAACTGAAATCGAGGAAGATGTTAACCTCCAAAAATATCCCGTAGGGACTTTGAGAGAATTTCTTCGAAATATTTTTCTGTTCAAGCCTCGGATTCTCAACATCAAACGGAACAGAGATGGTTTTATGAGAGTCCGTTTCAAGCAGTGTTGCTTTTGAATTTGATTTACCACTTTGAATGGCGGGAACAGAACTGAAATTCCGGAATCGAAAACCACCTCGCGNAACAGAGATGGTTTTATGAGAGTCCGTTTCAAGCAGTGTTGCTTTTGAATTTGATTTGCCTCTTTGAATGGCGGGAACAGAACTGAAATTCCGGAATCGAAAACCACCTCGCGGGTCTTGGTGGGTAAAATATATTTTTGGTCTACTATGTTTTATGTCACTTTGATATCCAGTATTTTAATAATGTCAATTTAGCCTCTCAATTTTTTAATTTATGTCACTTTGACCCAATTAAAAATGACAGTTAGAATTTACTTAAGGAGCTCCTCACGTGTACCTCATGTGACACGAACCGTAAAATTAAGGGACTATCAATGTATTTTATGCTCTTTTTTTATAGGAAAAATTTCACCCCACCTCCTGTAATTAGGTCTAAATTTAATGATACTTCCTCTTGATTGTGAAACTTCACTATAACCCCTTGTCATTCGCTTGTTTTTTATAGAAAAATTTTCATCCGCACCTCTTGCAATTAGGTCTAAATTTAATGACACTCATTCTCAATTTTGAAACTTCACTGTCACCCATTTTCAATACTTTTCAGGTTATGGCGCTAACAACGATTGTTGATTTATAGAAATACCTATGAGTATTTTATATGATAAATTTTATTCACACGTTTTTGTAAATAAACTTAACTTTAACAACAATTTTTGTAAAGAACAATGCTACAAAACCAAAATAAAACCAAAAAAATTATAACCCAAATGCATATCATCGTTGGATGAAAATGGGTCCCATTAATTTTTTTAGTGGGGTCCACCCATCCAAGGGATGATATGCATTTGAGTTTTAACTTTTAGGTTTCATTTGAATTATGTAACATTTTCCTTCTGTAAATAGACATAACTTTAACAACACTCTCTATTAATAAATCTAACTTTAATAACATCCCCTCCCGATTTTGAAATTTTAATATACTCTCTTTTAGTTATATTATANTTCATTTGAATTATGTAACATTTTCCTTCTGTAAATAGACATAACTTTAACAACACTTTCTGTTAATAAATCTAACTTTAATAACATCCCTTCCCGATTTTGAAATTTTAATATACTCTCTTTTAGTTATATTATCTTAGTTTTTAGATTCATCAATTTAATATTTAATTTTATTAAATTAATGTTCTTTATTTAACTTAAGCTAAATTAACATTTCATCTCACCAAATCAACATAAAATTTATATTTAATTTTATTAATATGTTATTTCATCAAATTAATATTATTTCTTTAATTTAATATTAAATTATTATTTAATTTCATCAAATTAATATTTAATTTTATTAAATTAAAATTTAATATATTAAATAAAATATTAAATTTCATTAATTAACCTTTAACTTATTAAATTAATGTCATTTATTTAATTTAGCACCAAATGAACATTCAATTTTATTAAAGCAACATTTAAATTTTATTCAATTAATATTAAGTTTTATCAAATTAACATTAAATTAATATTTAATTTTATCAAATTAAGACCAAATTTATTCAATTAATATTAAATTTTATTCAATATTTTTTATATTTAATATATGAAGGGTGATGTGTGAAGAGTGCTCGGGTGACGTTGTGAAAGACAGACGATAGCAAATGAGTTAGAAATGGATGAGATTTTGACATTGATTATAATTTTTGTTATCAAAAATTATTTTTAACTACAAAAATTATAAAAACTCGATTATGTAACCAAATGAGTGATAATATTGATGGGCCCAGCCTAAGGTGCAACTCGAATAATGAGTTTGGCCCAGACAAGGCCCAACGGGTCTGGGCCATAAGAAATTCAGACCTAGCTAGGCTCGTCAAGAACTCAATCGACCGTGCCATCTTGAAGTCATGCAAATCCTAGAACCACGCCCTGGAGCCATGCCATCCTGAAGTGGGAAAAGTCAGTCACACCATCCTTAGAGTTTGAAACTTGGTTTTGGGGAGATCTCCACACGCTCTGTAACTGCCTCATCTGTTGCGAAAATGATGTCAACTCTACAAAATCAATCTTTCTGTGTATTTGATAAGACGCCTCAATATGTTAGAAGACGCCTATAAATTATATGTTTCATCTACACATGAGGGGTATCTCTCACATTTTATATTTGACATTTTATCTCACACTTGATTCACCAGAGCTCTCACCTAAGCTCTCCACACTTTTTTGACAATAAAATACCCCCTACAACTAAAGTATTTCAAAGTGGAGTACGTCAACTTGACCAAATAATTCTATATCTATGTGTTGTTTGTGTTGATCTCATTTTTATATTTATTGCATTTTATTATCTATATTAACTACTCAACAGGTGGTGTACAAATCCACTATTGTGCATTATCAAATATGATGATTAATATTATAACAAAGTTATCATGCAACACTTTAAAATGATAAAAATTTATTAGGATAATATAATAATAGAAATCACATTTGCTGGCGGGCTACGACATATATAATGGGGGAAGGATCGAGGGTATTTCAGTCTATTTATATAACAAAGAATAATTTTAGTATTTTCACAAAATATTTAGTTAAATCATTACTTTCTTTACTGACAGAGACAAAATTACCATTAAAAGGGTGTTATTAATTTGAAAGTATAAATAAGAAGGATGTGCAGTGAAGTTTCAGAATCAATAGTGGGTATCATTAAATTTAAATTTAATTACAGATGGTGTGGATGAATTTTCTCTTTTTTATATTATTATTATTTCTTAGAAAGGCAAGTGGAATTCCTTGCATTAGTTTCCGTAAGCAGGTGAAGATTTTAAGTTTACATCACAAATTTTCTGTAATTTTTATTTGGACCCCAAACATTTTGATAGTTTGCGGTAGTATTTTTCTAGTTCACTCCTACTCTTGAGGTTTTGAAAAAAAGTGTTTAATGTAACTATTATATCATCTCAGCATTATCATATAGTATCACTAATTTCTAATAATTGAAGAAGTAAATTCTATACAAGTTAGTAATTACTTATTCATGTAAGGTAATGAAGATCACTTTATTATTTTTTGGAAAAACTCTAGGTATAAGCTTAGGTAATTAGATCTGATCAGGAGATTATTTTTTAAATTTTATTAGATGATGATATAACATGTCATTACTAACACATAGTATTGCCGTTACATCAAATATTTACCCAAGTTTTGGTTATGTTAATCTTCAAAACATAATAGTTGTCATAAAATTTGATAATGTGAACTTCAAATTGAAAAAAAATATTTAGGGAGTCTTTTTGATGGCATCGACTAATCTAATTATTCACATTTATTTGGTTAATTTATTTTTATAAGCATATTATTTGGGCCAAAGTAATATTTGAGCAAGAAAAACAAATAGCAAAATAAGCATATAACAAAACCCCTCTTTGTAAATATGCATAGATATTGGGGTCACCACCAATTAAAGAAAGAGGAACAAACCACCGACGTGAGAGGCGCGGACCAGTCACCCCCCCTACCCCCGGCGCGGCGCCTCCCTCATCCATCCACCTCCTCTCTCTCTCTCTCTCTCACTCACTCAATTCTCGGAACCCCACACTGCCAACTTTTTTAGTCTCCGTTCTATATCGCTATCTCTCACTTCGAAACGAAGGACTTCACATCTTGTTCCATACAAAGCCGGGTCAGTTGCATTGACCGTTAGATCTGCTTGCAAATAAGCCGATATGGCGGTTGCACTACGGGGCGGCCGTGGAGGATCTGGTGGCGGATCGGCACTTCGGAAGTTCTTCTCTTACCGGATTTTTGTCTCTGCCATGTTCACCCTCCTCTTCCTCGCCACTCTTTCCGTTCTCTTCTCCTCTCACCCCTACGACAGCGATTCCGTGAGTCTCTCTCTCTATACACACGCATTTATGCATAGATGTATATGAATTAGTTCGTTTCACTCAATTTCTTGGTTATGCCCTGATTGCGCAGACTGTAAAAGGAAATATAAAATTTAGGATTTCGTTTATTTGGGATGTTTAATTTGAAACTCTTACGATTGTAAAGAATGCTGCATTCTGTCNAAATATTTACCCAAGTTTTGGTTATGTTAATCTTCAAAACATAATAGTTGTCATAAAATTTGATAATGTGAACTTCAAATTGAAAACAAATATTTAGCGAGTCTTTTTGATGGCATCGACTAATCTAATTATTCACATTTATTTGGTTAATTTATTTTTATAAGCATATTAGTTGTGCCAAAGTAATATTTGAGCAAGAAAAACAAATAGCAAAATAAGCATATAACAAAACCCCTCTTTGTAAATATGCATAGATATTGGGGTCACCACCAATTAAAGAAAGAGGAACAAACCACCGACGCGAGAGGCGCGGACCAGTCACCCCCCCACCCCCGGCGCGGCGCCTCCCTCATCCATCCACCTCCTCTCTCTCTCTCTCTCTCTCTCACTCACTCAATTCTCGGAACCCCACACTGCCAACTTTTTTAGTCTCCGTTCTATATCGCTATCTCTCACTTCGAAACGAAGGACTTCACATCTTGTTCCATACAAAGCCGGGTCAGTTGCATTGACCGTTAGATCTGCTTGCAAATAAGCCGATATGGCGGTTGCACTACGGGGCGGCCGTGGAGGATCTGGTGGCGGATCGGCACTTCGGAAGTTCTTCTCTTACCGGATTTTTGTCTCTGCCATGTTCACCCTCCTCTTCCTCGCCACTCTTTCCGTTCTCTTCTCCTCTCACCCCTACGACAGCGATTCCGTGAGTCTGTCTCTCTATACACACGCATTTATGCATAGATGTATATGAATTAGTTCGTTTCACTCAATTTCTTGGTTATGCCCTGATTGCGCAGACTGTAAAAGGAAAGATAAAATTTAGGTTTTCGTTTATTTGGGATGTTTAATTTGAAACTCTTACGATTGTAAAGAATGCTGCATTCTGTATTGCCGAGATTGAACTGGAAAAGAAAAGAAAGGAAATCGGGTTACATCACAAAATTTGTTAATGCAATGTAGTTTAATCTAGCTGGTGATATAGACTACCGGAAATGCTTGTTCATAGTCAGTTTGTGTTGAATTAGATTTGTGGTCAGTTGAATGGATCATGTTTGTGGCACATGTGTAATTTGTCTCATTTTTCACTGAGAGTTNGCTGGCCTTGCTGTCCTGGACAGCCCAGGTGCGCTGGGCAGCAGCCTAGCTGCTGCTTCTGCTGTCCCGGACAGCTTCAGATCTGCTACGTCNTCGTCAAGAACTCAATCGACCGTGCCATCTTGAAGTCATGCAATCCTAGAACCACGCCCTGGAGCCATGCCATCCTGAAGTGGGAAAAGTCAGTCACACCATCCTTAGAGTTTGAAACTTGGTTTTGGGGAGATTTCCACGCGCCTTTCTGTAACTGCCTCATCTGTTGCGAAAATGATGTCAACTCTACAAAATCAGTTTTTCTGTGTATTTGATAAGACGCCTATAAATTATATGTTTCGTCTATGCATGGGGGGTATCTCTCACATTTTGTATTTGACATTTTATCTCACACTTGATTCACCAGAGCTCTCACCTAAGCTCTCCACACTTTTTTGACAATAAAATACCCCCTACAACTAAAGTCTTTCAAAGTGGAGTACGTCAACTTGACCAAACAATTCTATATCTATGTGTTGTTTGTGATGATGCACAAAAATGGTTTTGCACACCACCCGTCAAGTGTAGATAATAAATGCAATGAAATCAATGAAAGAATTAAAGAAGACACAATTTATAGTGGTTCGGTCAATTCGACCTACGTCCACTCTTCAATGGCTTCAGTTGCCGGGTATTTTATTGATTCAAAGGTATGGAGAATGGAGATACAA